CAAATAAAACAACGCATAATAATTATTACAAGTATTTAATGTACCTTATGAATGCCGTATAAATATTTCAAAATGTAAAACAGTGATAAAATTCATATTTTAACCAATATAACTTGTAATCAACGTAGTAACTAAGTATGCGAAATTATATTTCAATATTCAAAAATTAATTACAATTGAAATAGTAATTATGGAACTTATCTAACACTCGCAACATATGGATACAACGGGAAATCATTTATTGTTACAATATCCTTACCTAGGTATAACATTAATAAGCAGGTACCATATTTAAATCTCATAGTGCATTTTTCAAATAAATCAAAGCATCGGACTCGTTTGTGTTCAATGTAAATTGATAATAAACTTCGTCACTAAGTAAACTGTAACAAAATCTGCCTCAATAGTACACACAAACAATATAACTTGACCCGTCTGAAGTGCGCCACAAGCATATCGCTGTCTCTTTCACACGCTATTACGTTTGCTTCGCAGCATCTTCTTCCATCCGTATAGTGCCTAATTTCAGACAGGTCAAAATACATTGGCTGCTCTGTACAGTTAGGGTCCATATAATGATATAAAAACTTGGCCCCAGCATTTGAAAGGGATCCACAAAAACTAGAATTATTTTAATTTGTAAATATCATTTGCAAAAATTATAGCAAATCCTGTAATTGAATACAAAAAGACCTACTTATGCAGTCTTAGTACTGTTGTATATCCATCAAAGAACGTTTATAGACATCGAATGCTTACATGGAATGCAATTTTATAAAATTGAATTCTTACATTATACACTTTATTATATAAATTTAAATGAAACGAACGCGTCGGTACCCCTCGTATAAAATTAACACGTTGAGCGTTATCCTACAATTATTGATAAACATGCTACTTGTAATACGCAGTAATTAATTGATTATAACAAATATATGACCACTTGACTTTACATCGAATTTGGCAACTTGGATGAACACTTGTCTTACCCAATCTATCATCATACATGTTCATGTTACGGTGTCCAGATTATCATTGAAACTTCGCAGTTTTTATTAGAAATGTTATGCAAAGATGTTTTAGTTGTTCTAATAAAAACTACACTACAGTCAGCGCTGCGCCAATCTATTAGAATTTTAAGTATATATTGTAATACATAGTTATGTTGATACTGATCATAATAAATATTCAAATGGTATTTTGCCACTACTCCATCACATTCTACAACTATCGAACACTCGCACATTACATTAAATTAGATTAAAATTTATATACAAGTTACAACTAATATACCTTAACTAAACAACCCTACGCAGGTTTGTTTGATACCAACAAAGTGTATCATGTGTATGGCCTCTGACTTCGTTTGAAAACAATAGATTATATGGGTACATTGTTTGGTACTGATTATGTTTAGACAATCCGTTACACACTCGGTTTCGTTCCTTACTTAGCTTACACGGCAATGTCCTAACGCTAATCGCTAATAATATTACTTCACAGAACAGCGAGTACGTAGTTGAAAATGAAAACGATCCTATCTCCCACTTATTCGATGCTTCACCTTAATTCTCCACATCCATTGCCTTTATTAGATACTAATGTTCGTCAACTGCTTTCTTTATTAGCGTACAGTAGCTAGGTACTTACAAAACGTTGTTTATTTGCAAAGAAACGAAATAAACACTACAGTTCCAATATCAGTCGAATTAATATTGACTAAGACGGAATCAACTCACCCATATTTTTATCTAAAGATTTAAAAAATGGAACAACGCACAACCCCAAGAACAATCATAAATAATGATACCACAATAGAATTTGTAAACCTAAAGTTAACAAATTGAGCTAAATAATTACATTCTTTATTTCAATTCATCGAATATAAACTTCACAAAACACATTAGGAGCGTGTCTGAGAATAAATACATGTATTTGTCTTTTATTGCGCAAAATTTTCTAGATAATACTTAAGGAAAATTGGAAGAATTATTTTATTATTCGATTTTATGCTTATGATATAATACTAATCCATAGTCATGGTGTTCTTTCGCGTCGAGCATAAAAACGAACTTACAAACTGATTAAAAATGGTAGAAAATTGTTTGGTGACAAATTTTTCTTATGATCTCAATCCACAAAGATGTTCTGCTTTTCAAAACAGGCAATTATTAAAACATAGTTTTGTTATCTTGATGGCAACGCTACATGCGACAAACTAAATTGATGTGTCAAATCTTTACAGAAACGACCCTGAAATTATTTAACTATCCATGAAAATTTGACGAGTGTGATGAATTGTAAGTGGTTTTGGGAATTCCTAACTTGCCTATTCGGGTAAACAAACATGCTAATGGCAGTTTAATTGGTAGCTAGACGTTTATTGCTATAATTTATACATATTTTGGCGTTTTATATTTATTGCTACTACCAGATACCATCATACATAAACATTCCTCATATGAGACTAGAATATTTTTGATAATATTGCTTACAAAAACATAACACTAGAAATTATTTCATTATTTCTACCAAATTGACCACACTCATCAAGTTTTCCTAAGAATTTGTCACCAAACTGCTGTGGATTATGTCTACGGCGGTTGTCCCAGGTGTTTAGCTAGGGTGCTGCGCGGCGACCTTGCGGAGACGGTAGCCACCAGTGCCGCGGACTGTGTACAGCACCAGGATGGCCACGGCCACCACCGACATCCCGATGGCGTTGACCACGATGGACTCGTTGTTGAGCGTCGCATATACTTCGCTCCTGTACACCGCATGCCCCAGGTTAGTATATAAGGCATTGAAGTTACATTAAGATAAAAAATTGCTAAGGCCTGGCCTCCAAAGCCGAACGTCCACAGTCAACTAAAATAAGATAGATTAGCTCGCATAGTTGAGCCAGTTTTTCATTTATGTGCGTCCACCGCAAACTATACCAACTTATGTATAAAAATCTGGCTCACCACTTACGATCTAAACTGACTAATTTGTAAGTATGTAACAATTTGAAAAGATGGACTTCGAAAGAAAGTTGTTTTCGATTCGAGATGAAATGTAATGATAGAGGCAATGATACTTTTTCTTTAAGAACCAGGCTCTTAGTAAAGATATAATACAAATTAATTGAAAGTCTTGCATCGTGATTCGCTGGAGGAATCATTGCTTGTGGCAGTCATAAAGGGTCATTTTTCAATAGCAAAAATTTACAGATTTGCTTTTCGCATGACCTATTATCATAGGGTGGTATATTATATACACCTATTTTTCCCTCTTATTTAAAAAAAGTTAATACTTTATCTACTAATGTATAAGTTGCAACTTATAAGTTCAAAAAGATTAGTAACATTGCAACGATTAGTATCTAATTGTACGATAAAATTAAATATTATGATTTAATTGAAGATAAATATTATGATTGCGGAAACTGGAATGCTATCATAAACTAAATTTAATTATAGACATACTTAAGTATTTTCAAAAGAATTATCCTTAATAAATCGTGAACTACTAACATCCATAATCGATTAACACCTGATTGCAGGAACAATAAGTAATAATAATAATAATTTATTGCTACAAAAGTGTGTGAAAACATAATTATGTTACGTAATATGGAAGTGCAAGTATAAGAAGAACATAACGATGATGGTGCTAATACAAAACCACAAGCATGAGAAAGCATTCATTACAAAGCACATAAAGCGATACTTACATAATACATACTGGGTGCGTATTCAATAGTCGGTTTTTGAAGAGAGAACAGTATTGAACATCGGTGGTATGGTCTTGGACATTTTTATAAGTAAATAGCTGTTGCCCGCGACTTCGCGTATAATATGGGCAATTAACTTCTTTTTTGTTTATATTTTCTAAAATAAAAATAGCCTATATTACTCCTTAGTACATCAGCTATCCTGTCACCTACCAGTAAAATTCCCGTCAGAATTGGTCTAGCTGTTTCTGAGATTAGCTAGTATAAACAGACAGACAGACAAAAATTTAAAAAATGTTATTTTTGTATAAGTATCCTATGTATATTCATATGCATGTAGTAAAAAGCGGTTATTTTAATGTTACAAACAGACACACCAGTTTATTTATCTGTATAGATTGAATAAAACAAAATTTTGTTGACGTTGAATTTATTAATTCTTATTTTGTTTCACGAGATGGCGTGAGTGAGACTACCAATAACTTAACGTTAGCAATAACATAATATCACGCCTTTTATCCCCGAAGGGGTAGGCCGAGGTGCACATTATGGCACTTAATGCCAGTGTACAATGTAACACCCACTTTTCACATTTATGTTATGAGTCCCATGTAATAGGGGGTGAGCCTATTGCCTGAAGTGATGTTAGTGACGCGATGCCAATATCATCATTGGCTACTTAGTTAGCGTAAAGGTTTTCAGAATGATCAAGTAAGAGCCATACCATCAATAATAGACATTCCAATAAAGTGCAATATTAAAAAAGGTAAATCAAGATCCAAGGAATTAAAAGTCAATTAATACTTACGTTTATTTTAATGCAACAAAAATACAGTGTTGTTTCTTAATATTACCAAGTCATTTATTTGTCCTAATTTATTTTATTTCTACATTTCCTAAGCTAATGCCTAAGTTATTTTGATCTGATACAGATCAAAGCTGATACAATAAAGCCTCGTTTATAATATGTTTTGTGTAAATTGTTAAAAACTTTGTTATTTGTATACTTTATTTAGTTTAGTACCTATGTCTATAATTAGGTACGGAAAATAATGAATAAGGCAACTGACAAAAAAATTCTTTTGATTTTTTATATCATCAGCCAATTGCCCTTATGTACATGTTTATCAGAAAAATTGTAAAAATGCAAGTTGCAAAATTTATCTATAATATTCATAATAATTTTTGTTACCTAATCTAAACTTGAAACTCGGATATCAGAGCCAATGTCCCAAATAAAATAACATTAAATAAGTTTTTTACATGTCTAGAATTACATTAAAAACGCATTTATTACTTAGACTAATTAACGATTCGCTCTGACATCGGAGTTTTGTTAAACATGAGAAGGAATCTAGAGGTCTACTGAGGCCCTTATGTGTTGTCCACGTGACTCTGGTGTGCGGAACTTGTTCCTCGACAAGATATACATGACGACTGCCAAAATGGCGATGCAGGCGACTCCAATGGCGTTGATGATAATTCCTTCGTCGACCATCCCGCTGTACCTCTCCACGCTGTGGATACGGACACTTACAAGCAACTCACACAACACAGACAGACAAAAGACAAGAACTAACATGCTAACATAGAGCTTACGTGCAGCGTACATACACAAACTGATAGTGCAGCGCAATGATGTGGTTGAAAGGGTGAAAGTAATTTTAACCAGAAATTAACTATTTTCAAGTAACAGAAAAACCTCTACACATCTTTTTCTAGTGAATTAAATCAACTGAAAGTTCATAGATATTCCAAAATTGCTCTTCTACAGTGCCAAATTATGACAATAGCAAAAAACCATGCCAAAGTCTTCTTTCTTTTAACTGAAGTTTTACATACCCGATGCTGAAGAGAGCCTTCTCAGTAAGTCCAGTGAGGCAAGCACAGACGCCAAGTACGAAGGTGAGGATTCCGAAGGCTGCGTGGATGGGCACCAGGGAGGCACGGAAGCCAGCAGTTCCCTTATTGCAGATCAACAACAGCAGGAAGCTGAAGAAGCCGACAGCGTACTGTGGAAAACATATTCATAACATTTCAAAGAAAATTCTATAATTTCTCGTTTCATTCGAATGTTATAAGGACGACTATAATTAGAACTTCACGGTATACATACTCTGCACATGGATACACCATTATTAATTAGTAACTTAATATCCCTATTCGTAATTAATGACAAATAAACGCATGTACGGATAACATAATTAGTTTCGATATAACAATAACTTTATTAATAAAAGCCGTTTCGTAATTATTATGGAGCCCTTCGGAATATTAATGTTGTTGATTGGCATCTAAGTTTGTTGGCGACCCAACCGCCGGTGTCAAATCATTCGAAACTTAATCTCGTTTCATTAAACGTAGGGTCTGAATAAGGCCTATTTGTCTAAAGAGTCCTGTGTCAACATCAGCATTCTCGGTATTAAATCTAGTATCAAATTGGGGATCTAAAATATCAAAGGCCTGTCATTAGTTTTCCTTATTAGGCCTGTCGTTTCAAATATCGTGTAACGTGAAGTTTAAAGTCATAGTCATGAAATATCAGAGTGATTAGTTTTTAAAAAAGAAACTATGGTTTTTCAATGCAGATGACGTAATAGCTTTATCAATTTTGGAGCCGACATGTGATCTGTAGTTAGCTTATCGCACCCGTCGGCAATAACGAGACAGTTGCTTATCTACCGCTCTGCATCACTTAGTATTATCTTCACGCTCGTTTAGCCAACTAAACTCGATGATGTCAACTTCCAATCTCGTAGCCACATTCGACAAGGAAGCTATTTCGCTAGTTAAGTAATGCGACGTAATATGTTACTCCATAAACTCTTTCCTTGGTTACTATAAGATATTAGAAAGCTTTTCTCAAGAAACAGGCTATAAAATATCAGGGATATCCGTTTGACTGGATCCAGTGATTAGCGTGTTTAAATAAACACTTAAACTTTGTAAGTTAAGTAAACTTGGAACAACCACAGTGGAACTGTACCTCAGCAAGGAGATGTTTTGTTTCATCGTTTTCATGTTCAAGAAAGAGAGAATTTATAATACAAAGTTTCGTTTCGAAATAGTTTTGGCAATAACTAGGTCATACGTTTCAAATATCAGATTTTAATTCATTATTTACTAGCTTCTGCCCGCGACTTCGTACGCGTAACCCATTTTTTCCCGTTCCCGTTCGTGATTTTCGGTAAAAAGTAAAAAAAAGTATTGGTTAAAAAGTTTAGTTAAGCTACTTCCCTACCAATTTTCAGCCAAATCTATTCTGCTGTTCTTGAGTTATAAGTGGTGTAACTAACGTGTTAGTTACATCATTACATATACTTTCTTTTATATATTGTATATATATAGATTAACCTTTCTTTAAAAGCTAATTTAACATCACAAATAAATCTCTTTATTGTTAGTTTCAAAATTAAATTCAAAGAAAAATCACCTGTATTCCAAACAGTCCCATGGCGACGAAGCCGATCCAGCTGTGTAGCGAGTAGAAGTTGTTGATGCCCTTCTTGTTATGGTAGTCCAGTACAGCCAGGAAACCGATGACGATGCAAGGGAACGCCAGCGCGTGGAAGATGGCGTGCAGCAACTTAACATAGATGCGTCTGAAGCATCGGCAGATGCGGTACAGGAGCACAGCTGTTGATGGTAAATGAAAAAGGTATTTTAATGAGAACAGAGTATACAAACTAACGATTAGTAAATCCTGGAGTTTGAAAAGAAAATGCTAATATTGGAAGGTAAAAAGTGCAACATATTTTTGGGAACATACCATGTACCATATTTTATGTTCTATAGTAGGTATTTCTTTTGAAAAATCTAGAAAAATCTGTAGAATCTTTATACGTGAACTATCTAAACAGTGAGTGAATATGGAACGAGGTGAGCTTGGACACATTTTCTATACAATAAGAACTGGATTGAAGTGTTAATTTCGCACGCGTCCTAATTGTTTATAAAGTAGGTCATATCCTGTGGAACAATCTCAGTATGAATGGCGATTAACATTGTTAATGAAGAATTATCTTTTTTATCCCTACGTTTTTATCAATATAAACTGTTAAAAACACTTTCAAATGATGGTGAACTCTACCTACCTACGTAGTTAACTAGTCTAAAGAAATCCTGCATTCAAGAAAACAACTTCAGTAAAATATGAAATCCGTACTGATATTTTCAACAGCAAGAATAGGTACTGTAATATCGTCCTACTGTTGCGTTTTATCAGCAAAATGCTCGGAGCCATCCTTTACATTCTTCTCGTAGAAAAATCTGACTTTAAAACCTTTTTAGCACAAGGTTTTCAAATTCAACTATAACGAGACTTTATATTCCCATCTTTATAGATAACTTTCTTCATTTTGTAAGTTTTCTTGCGATAGCTACGGGAAATAACTCGATTTAAACCCTTCAATGTGGTTTAGAAATTGTTCGGTAGGTATTATAAAGAGCATTTTAAGGTATAAAGTTATACTTTATGTATTGTATCGCACATTCTTTAGTTTAGTTACTAAAGGCAACTAATGTATAAGTTATCATCAGTTCATTGGCGCTCAACGTTACCCATGTCATTCTAAAGACATAACGCTGCACTAGCATCTATAATGACGTAATAATTCAATAAAAAAGGACCAGATACTCACAGAAACCGCTGAAGGTGATAAATCCAGCCACCATAAGCGTAGGGTGCAGGTTGAACTGCTTGTCGGGCAGATCATCAGCCCAGGCATATCCCTCGCGGTAGTAGAAGACCCAGAAGACGGTCAGGGCTGACACGCCAATCAGTAGGATGGTCGCAAGCGTGATGACCAGGGCGTACTCGCACCATTCGCACGCCCCCCTCTCATGGTCATCCGACTCGTACGAACGACTGCGTTGACTGTAAAAGGAGAAAAGATTTTATTATTTGCTGACCGATGAAAGTTGAGGAATTTATAAACGAAAGCCACAGTTGGGCTTTAATATAGTCATTAACTTGAAATGTGCGATAAGGCAGTTTGACGCCATGACGCCACGGGAGTAATCCGTTGAAAATAATTTTAAGCCGTGTTCTGTAATGAAGTAAATTTTTAAGTAGGTACGCTTTAATAAATAAATAAATAACCCTAATCTTAAATCCACTCAGCACTTTTACTAATAAACGAGATGATAAATATTTAACATTTATTTACCAGCTGAACATCGCAAATTCGCAACCAACTTTACCCGAATTTGAACAAACTTCCAAACTTCGGCATCGCAAACAACTGTCGTTTGCGTATCAGCGTAAATGTTTCAATTAATTCGAGCGACAGCCAAACATCCTTCCTCGATACAGGGATCGATAAAGTTATGAACTTATGAACCGCTCAAGCTAAAACCGCAGGAGATAAAACGGTTCAATTGAATAGACTAGTGCTAGGTAACGTTTGAGGCAACTCGGGCGTTATCAAACTTAGTCAGACCGATGAAAGCAGTCTCATTCAATACTCGGCTAAGTCAAAGCAGGTTAGTAGACAGGAAACCACAGCTCCATTGATACTGAGCTAGCCGACGTAGTTACATGTATGCAAAGTTGAGTCCTCCGTACCACACAAGGGTGTCGGGTAGCGTGAGATCAGTCGCGCGACAACGCCGGATGCCCGCCGCGTCATGCTACACTACATTTATTAAGCTTTTCTCAAATAACCTGGTATAATTTGTTTTAAAAAGACCAACAAGGAATTCGTGCAAAATCAATTTTCTGGATGTTACATAATTTACTTATAAGGTCCTGTTGATCGATGTAATATGTAAAATAGTAAACTATACTCTAAATATTACCCTTTCCAATACATAGTATATTGTATACGTGGGATATCTCATTGCATCTGTCTTCGTAAGTTGCAGAGAACAAGTAATAACTGTCCGCAGGAAACGTGACGGCGCGGCGCTTGGAAAATGTTACGATTTTTCATATCTCTAGCAAACCGACCAACATTGAGTTATTTGAAATTGTATCCACTTATCCTCGCTCCTCTATTTTTCTTTTACGTGTAGTTATTGTCCATATAGCAACAACAGATGTGGAAATAATTTTGTCACGTATTGTCGTGTTAAGGTCGCTGTGACGCAGGTATCCGTGTAACAATATTATAAATAAATACCCTTTACTCAGGCACAGGTCACTAAGCCTTTGCGTAAACCTTTTGTGACCTATTTAGAACTTTAAAGATGAAATATTGCTTTTCCATAGCTAATATTTGTGGACGGGATTTGTCCATAAATTACGTAATAATTTAAAACGCAAAACTTTGTGAGAGCTGACCACTTTATTGTTTAAACAGACCATGGAACAGACCCAACCTGATGTACAAATAAATGTCCGGCATTAGGCGGGTTCGTCAACAGGATTTACGTAACGAAAATAAACAGAAACCTGTATAGCAAGTACTGATAAAGGATTAGCAGGCCGACACAAATGACAAAGTCGACTTATATTCCTTTATTTAGCTGGCCCCGTATGCCAAAATTAAGTTGATTAAAAATGCTTGATGGAACCCACAGAGGTAGAAAATTCCTTTACGATCCCTTTTTGCGCATTCTTTTCGTGGAAATAGGACGGTTAAATTCTATTTTGCATGAAAGTGAGATTGGATTGCTTCAATATTTGTTTCAATTCAGATTAGATTTGGAGTCTCTTTTTGTTTTTCAGAGTCGATATTTGGTTGAGTGATGTTCGCAGATTGTACAGATCGCGTCAGTTATAAGATGATGTATGTCAGTATTACCTAGTTACAGACAGGTGAAAGTTGCGTAAAATGCAGAAGTAACTGGTGTCCTACCTTCTATACTTGCATTGAAGGCTCCGATTGTATGTTGACATACTATAATGGTTTTGTTCGAGCACACATTGGCGTATTGCTCAAGCTTACCGTAAACCTGTCCGTGACACAACTAATTTGTAGGGTTGACTTGGCAGTCATCGAAACAGCCTTATTTTAGTACCTATCCTGCTCATCTAATACAATTTAGATGGATATTGTTTGAAACAGAACCTTGCAAATAAGAAACACGCCACAGATGGTTACGTCTCTCCGTACCTTAGCTCCGAGTACTTTGTAACACAATATGAGCTTTCTCTGTGAACGACTGCATTCAGAATAGAAACGTTGTAGAAAGAAGCAACGTGTGGCTTATGTAATGTAATCCAAAAGGCAATGACGCTGTATTTTCTGCTACGTTTTCATACAAACTTCTCTATTGCAAAATAATACCTTAAAAGGTACCGTTTGAGAAGTTGTACACCTTTTGTTCTATTGCTATTGTCTCTAAATAAGTTTAAACTTGTTCGCTCTGAAATAATGCTCACTACTTTTATTACGAAACTTTCTTCAAAGAATTGAAACATTTATCGACATAAAAAGCTAGAACAATTTAAATAAAGCAGTAGTTTTGAGTGCAAACAATAAAATAAAAACTTTATCTCTTTGTACGTAGTTGAACGCAAAATGCGAATGGAATTTGTTCGCGAATTATCGGCAGGTGATTTGCAATGGCCGTAAATCGCAATGACCAGACTCGTGATAGGTCAGTCGAGAAAGTGGTGGAAATGCAGGTAGTCATGCTATCTTGCAGCCTCAAGCTTTTTCATGTCGCACTATACAGCTACGTACGTCTTTATTTTGTTGTAAAAACATGTATCAGACGTGACTCGAATGTTGAGGCCGTGTGTTACTGCGAGTCGTGTGCGGCCCTCGTTTGTGGCCGTAAATGAGGTTGCTCGTTTGTACTATCAATATAGCCTTATCGCACACCAAATACGAGAAGAAACGTCTCCCGGTTGAGTGTTATCTCACTCGTACCATATTTTTTCACGATCAACGCTCGAGTAGAACCCTTCTATAAAAATCGCAAACAGCAACTCCAATTAAGGAGGAAATGACCAATCGTTTGGTCACGTCGGTGCAGCCCGTGCCGGCCAATCTTTGAGATAACTCGATTAACCTCGATCACGATCTGTGACCGCGTAACTTATAACTTCGTCAGTCGGCCAGAACCGAGTTGCCGAGCATCTCATAAAACCGCATAATTTGCCGACAAACTTACCATAATTACAAGGTATAAGTACCCGAACGAAAACCAACTAAAATTGAGTGCTGTGCTATTAACCGACAATGGGATTCCAAAGCCAAATTGCTAAAACAGCTAAAGGCGTACACGTGCTGCACGGCTGCTTTTGAAACTCGACGCATACGCAAACGCTCGGTAAAATGGACACATATACCGTGAATGTTACTTTCTCTGACTATTCAAGCGGAGTTCACACATTACTACAACAATCAATTCATCTTTAAACGACATAAAATAACTGTTTATAAAGATTTCTAATTAAAATCGTCGGATAAAACTAATTACTTTGGATCTGGTAGAGCTACTTAAGTACTTAAGATAACTTGCAGTGCGTCCGAGTGGAGAAATGTAGTAGTGCAGGGTCTAGAGTTGTCGCGGAGAGGAGGGGGAGGTTATTGACCTCAGCGCCCGTGGTACTCCTGGCCTACATGGGAAACGAAGAGCACGAACACGATCGCTCGTACCATAACTAGTATTAAACATTTAAAATGGACATCAAAGAAGAGCATTCAACTTAAATATTAAAGGGGGAACAAGAGATCCGCGTCACAGTTTGCTCGCTCGGGGATCAAGTTCCCTGAAACATTTCACAAGTTGTTTTCATAATCCTTCTTCAGACAAATGTTTGCAAGATTGTGTAACTGTTAAGAAGAACCGTTAAATTAACCACATTCATTCGGAAACTTCTTGGAAATTCGCCTCCACAGTCTCTAGTGTCCTTATCCAGTAATTAATTTGCCAGACGAATGAAGCCCTTAGTTCATTCAATGAACTTTATCGAGGTGAACATAAGAGTCATTTTGGAATTTTGATTGCGAGTTCCATAAGTCGTTAGTCATATTTACGTTACTGAAGCGAATGGAGAAATGGAAAATTACAAAGACTGTACGTTTAATAGCCGAACCTAGATAGTAAGTTATAAGTTAAACTTCAGTTGAAATTAAAGTGTGTTCTAAGTACATACATAATGCATAACATCACGCCTTTTATCCCTGAAAGGGTAAGCAGAGGTGCGCATTATGCCACTGCCACACCCACTTTTCACTATTTATGTTATGAGTCCCATGTAATAGGGGGTGAGCCTATTGCCATATACTGGACACAATTCCATACTCCGTGCTACTACTGAGAATTAAAAACCCAGTAATACTTTGTCCGACCCGGGAATCGAACCCGAGACCCCTTGCTCGGCAGTCGCACTTACGACCACTTGGCCAACGAAGCAGTCTTATGAAATAATTAAAATTTGATATAACGAGTTCTATTCTGTTTAAAACATGGTGTAATCTCACAAGTCAAGCTCGAGACAGCGTTTGATGTAACAACAATACGACTTTGATGTAGCGGTAACAAGCATCAAATCTTGGATCTTCTATAACCACAAGGCTGTTCTTATTTGACGTCGCAATTAAAATATGATACAAACACATGAAGACACCCAAGTCAAATATGACTTGGGTGTCTTCAAGTCCCGAGTGAACAGGTTGCTCATAGGTAGGCGTGCTCCATCGTCGGCCACATCATCGCTTACCATCAAGCGAGATGGTGGTCAAACGTCGACCAATAAAGTATAAAAAAAGCAAACAAACAACAGCCTATAATTGCCCCAATTTCACAAGGAAAATCTTTAAAATATGGGCTTTAGTTAGTAAGAGTCTGACAGTCCCTATCGTCCTCCGAGGCGAGGGGAGTCCATGTGAATTTCCCACCTTGGGGTCAATAAACGGTACGATATGATTTAAATCTCTTAGAATCTTTGCTTTTATCATTTATGTAAATCCAATGATT